TGTGGTTGACCAAATACTTTCAAATTTGAGGGGAAAATACACACACATAGACCTACAACCTATGCCAATTTTAATGTCAAAGGTCAACCGGGGGACCATTTCGCCCGCAGGGGGTGTGGCCCAACGAAATTTCACTGAGGTCCTTCCAGCCCTCAGGACGGAAGAATATGCAAAAAATATATGCAGAACGAGGTCTGGGGTATTGTTGGAAAGTGCCCCATAAGGCCACCGCAGCGTGGTACCGTAATTTGGTAAATCGACGCCATGAACTAAAAAGAATTTGATGACTCAACGAGCAATTTTTAAAATCACTGAAAATATATCTCGCGTTGATGAGTAATGCTACACACGAAATGCATTTTAGGCCATGTTAGAATTTGAGAGGTTTTAAAAATTCCCATTCAAGGGTATGCATACTTACATACGTATATATGTAGAAAAATTAATGAATTTGTAAAGGAACCTCTTTCCCAATTATGATGAGAAGTTTCTGTCACCATTGGGGGGTCAAGCAAATGTTGATGATTATTGACAAAGGGAGGTTAGGTGGGTGTCGAAGAACTTTTCTCGACATAATATATGAACGGGCCCCAAGATACCAGGTGATTGAGTGGTGGTGGTGGGTGTGCTGGTGGTGGCCCCTCTCGGGCCACCGCCGGACAATTTTCTCTGGTGGTAAACTTTCTTACCACTAGAGAACAGATCAAATGCGGTGCCGAAGCTTAATTCGAATTATTCATGTCTGCATTCATACATATCTATTGCTCAAAATTTGCCGTGGTGATGATGCATACATAAATGTTGTCACAAATAGTAGTAGAAAGTGTTCATATGCACGTTCGCACATACATACGTGTACATTCTTAAGAATTTTGTAATACGTGTATACCGGCGGAGGTACTAAATATGCAATTCTTCCGAGTGGTGATAAATTGTCTTCTGAGGGTTAAAAATTGCCTCCGGTGTCGGTTATATTTTTGTTATCATATTTATGTAATAACGGCCACTACTGTAAATTTATCACTCACAATGCGATGACGCCAGCGGTCTCGCTCCGATTTTGATGAAACCACGATAATTATGAAGCCTTAGGTAAATAATTAAACAAGTGTTTCAGGATTTTTCATAATGCTCAGCTTAAACAAAGTTATGATGGTATGAGTTGCCGAAAATTCGCATTTTTCTCCCTTAAAAAAAGAAAACCTTCACGAGAAATTAATTAATTAATTAATTAATTTTAATTAATTATTAATTAATTGTTTAATTCATTATTTATCGCAGGCTACACAATTATCTTGGTTGCATCAAAATCGGAGCGAGACAGCTGGCGTCATCGCATTGTCACACACAAACTGCTACCAATCCGGTATGAAGTGATTACCAAATCAATACTAGTGCCGATTATAAATGTGACTCTACCTGATCCGCAACAGTGTAGGGTAATAATATAAGCTTGAGTCACATTTCCTTATTCTCCGAAAAATGTTTCCATCCTTTATGCCAGACACCTTTTTTCCTTGGGAGACAAGGATTTGAATTTATCGAGCCGAATTAGTGTCTAAATTGAACTATTGTTTTACTCGAGAAATTCCAGATTAAACAAGTTTTGCATTGATTCTGGCAAGTGCAAATTCTTGACAAACTAGTAATACAAAGATTTGTGAATTAACAAATTGACAAGTTGTGCAACGTCAGCAATGAAATGAGAATACATAAATCAAGTCAAATATTTATGCTAGTTGGGCCAAACTTTAGGATATGTGCGTAATATTTTACCCGAATTTTATTTTCCAAGGGGTCTGACCCCGTAGTTGTCAAATGGTTTTTTACCAAGTATGAAACATGGCATCCAAATGATATTTTTCCAACAAACCATTTAACCTCTTTAGTATTATTAATTGTATTAAAAAAATTCCCCTTAGAATGGTGTTGATTTCACAAGTACTTGAGTTTTTTGATGAAAAAACGAAAATCAACTTTATAACATTGATCGGGGATTAGGGAAAATTCCTAACCTTGAGAAGAAAAATATCTTAAAAAATCCACTTTTTACCATAAAGTTTTTCTCAAAATACAAAAAGAAATATTCTTATTTTTGAGAAATTTTGGTGTCAGGGTAATTTATGCGGTGCACATACTCCTGTTTTTTATGATACGATCCTCGACGTCATCACTCTAATTACTAATAGCATTGCAGTGGTGACGTCGAGGGTCGTATCGCAAATAAACGGACTGTACATACATATTTGTGTATTTCGTCGTCAACGGAAAATAAAATACTAGACATTTATTTAGGTGGAAACTAGATTCGCAAGGATAAAAATCTCTTTAAAATGGAGTTCTCCAAACGTAATATCAACTCAGTTTTTCTTTTCCATCCCGCGCTGGTATCCTCCCCACGCTATTAGTATGGTAGGGATACGAAGCGGGAATCAAATTTTTGGTAAAGTAATTCTGAGTCAGTAGTATGCCCAGGGCACAGAAAACTCTGGGGCTTTGCGGGTATGCTACCTGGGTTTTGCGGGAAGTCGGGGTGGCCAAAGTTTTGGTGGTAAGCTTAGTCAGCGTCTCATGTATTAAAAACAATCTTCTTTTTAGGGATTTTTTTAATTTTAACGCAACGCACGAATTTATTCTAATTAATAAACTAAATTAAATCATCGATTACAAATAATTTTTATAAAAATATTGAGGCGACGTCTTCTCGACAAGGTTTTATAAATTTGACAATCATGGGTTAAAAGTCAGTGCTTGTCTCCTGTATGCCTCTTAAAATGTTACAATTTTTTATTATTTAGGACAGTTTCATAATTCATAAACTATCATTACTCAATATAATTACAAGTTCGGTAATTTCGGCATAAAATGTGTGGGCATAAGTTGGGAGATCTCCACGGTTAGTTTGGGTACCGATCAAGCTGTGAGCCGTACACATGTTTAGATTTGTGATCACTTTATGGACCCTAAATATGTACGCTGTGCTGATTAACTTATGTAATTCACGTGCTGCCTTGATTGTCTGGTTACAAAACGCAACTCTATCTGTGTTAGCGCACCATGAAAACATGCTATTAGGAAGCCGACTGTAATAATTCGTTTATTTATAATAAACCGTGGTAAACGCACATAAAGAAGTAGCTTCACTCGAACTACCGAAGTGACAGAGTACGTAATTTCACTCTATTTCGTTAATTTTCAATTTCAGTAAAATCGCATTTCCCCCGTACCATACATACCTCCTTCGTGGGAAGGGTGCGGCTCAGCGCGGGAACACGTAAATTTACTCTGTGCATTCAATTTTAGTCATAATCCCATAAGCCCCGACCACACCCTCTTACCTCTAGAGGGGTGGTGCGATTGATTCCAAAAAATTGACCGGATCCTCCCCCTGGGGTCATGTATTGATGTGTATCATGCCGCAAACCGATTAGGATTATCTTGCTCGGTTCTAGGACAGACAGACAAAGTCTTCACCCTAAGTAGCTTCAGGTACTTTAGTTCATGCATTATTTACCCCATGGAATCGTTCAAAAATTATGTAACTTGAGAAAGGCAAAGCGATTGATATCGTGCATGTGTTCTACATTTTAAAGGGGGTCTAGAAATTCGCGATTTTTGCATCACATAATTTTTGAATGGCCCCCAAGTGTGAACACACTGGTTGTAAATATGTACCTGATTAATAGATTTACCACCCATAATTGGTCGTAAAACACTTCTAAATGAGGCCAGATTCCATGTCGAATATAATCTCTGAAAACAATCTTATCAAATTTTCATCGATGCGTGAATTTGAGTAGGAACGGACCTCCTCACCTTTAAAACTGATCTAACACGAGATTAGTTTATCCTTATCCGGACCCGTGTCCACACCTGGTCCAAATTCCAGTAAGGATTTAATTAATTAATCCGAAATGAGGAAAAAGTTAAGAAATTTATTTTTATTTCTGACTTCAATCTTTATCCTGATTTTCATAATTCCGCTGACTTTGCTCTTTGTAATACTTCCACTGATTTTATACCGGAAACTTATCATATTTCTGGCCTCGTGGAAAACCGGGATTTATGTTCCCCTCAACATCTCCAGTATTTCGTTTGCTTGGGATGATATTTACGGAAAACCGGATTGTTCCATTTGTGTGGCAATTTATCTAAAGGGCGGGCATGACATGGGTCAGGTGATGCAGAGACTGGAGAATGTGGTGAAAATTGTAAGCATTTTCTTGAAATCGAGTTTAAGGCTGTATTGTATGGAAGGCATGTACTCTCGATATTTCGAGATCTCGAAATTTCGATATTACAATACCGAAATATCGGTATTTCGACTTTGTCACATCCTCAAAGTTTTCAAAATTGATTTTTTGGCTTGGTTACACCCCCAAGTTCCCAAAATTTAAGTTTGACTAGGTTACACCCCTAACGTTGCCTGAATTCAATTTTGACTGGGTCACACCCTCAAAGTTGCCCAAAATCGAATTTTGACTCGGTTACACCCCCAAAGTTCCCTAAATAAATTTCGATATTTCAATATCGATATTTCGGTACTTGAATACCGAATACCAAAACCCCGAAATACCGAAACCGAGATTACATGCCCTACTTATATGCGGGTTTCGAGTTTCCATTTCCGTGTCTCAACTTTCCCTTATTTAAATGGTAATTTAGAAACATTTTAATTTGCCTGGGTTTTCTTAGAAAATGAGATTTTGTTGAGCATGAATGTCCATAATTTTGAGTTTATAAAAATCCCCCTCTCTTTTTAATGTTCGCATGTTAATCATATGTTAATCATCGCGTACTTTTGTCTCAAATTTTAGCCCTAAAATCTGATAAGAACACAAATTGTTTCCCGTACTTACAATTAGTTTAATTACCTTTCAAAATTCATCAACCTACTCCTCCCAATACATAAATTCACTAATTAAATATTACCGCATTATAAAAATAATCATTCTTCCCATTCCAAGCACCCCGAACTAACGTGCACATTACACTCGTGGATGGGAACCCTATTTTGGAAGAAATCCCCAACTTTCCAGCTGGCTCAGCATGTCACCCTAAATGAAGAATCCGACCCGGCCAAAATCCAGCAATTCTTGGACACCCTGTCGGAAACACCGTATCCGAAAGGCCTCCCGCTCTGGGAATGCGTCTCCTTCCCCAATTACCCCAGGGGTAACTACGACACTAAATCTGCCCTCGTGTTTCGCCTGCATCACACGGTGACAGACGTTTACGGACTTTTGACACTTTTGCACGATTTCTTTGATAACAAAGATTCCGAAAAATATCAGGAAAATTTTACAAATTCGAAACCCTCCAAATGGACTACGAATATTTGGAATGTCTTCCAATTGATCTTTGTCACTCCGACGGAAGCCATTTTCTATCTGTTGAAAGGAATCGACTCCAATCCGCTCACACTCAAGGTGCTTGACAATATTTGACATATTTACATTCATGCTGTTCACATTCATTTATTCAGTGAATGAACCAATAAATTATTTACTTATTCACTATTCAAAAAATAAGTTCATAAATAATGACTGAAAAATTGTTCCAAAATTTTAGTTTGAATGAATATAAATGAATAATTTTATTCATTTTCTACATACATGAAAAAACCAAGTATCTAGCAAGACAAATTTGACAAAATGAAAAATAAACCAATAGTGAATCAATATATATTTTTAAATTTTTAATAAATGAAAAATGAGTGAAAATTTCTTACAATATATTTTGAATGAATTTTGAATGAAAGAATTGCATTAACAGGCATTCCGACGAAGTGGGGAAGTGGTCCGGTGTCACAATCCCGTCGCCATGGAGATGAAAAACCTCAAGCGGATTTCCCACGCTGCCCGGACAGATAACACAGCACTCATGTTCGCCGGGGTGGCCGGGGCTGTGAGGCGAATTATGAAGGAAAGAGGGGGAAATTTAAACCTGGATGCAACATCGCTTTACACGCTGCGGAGCATTTCGAGTCATCCGGGTACAATGATGAATAATCTGTAAGTATGAAATAAACCAGTATCACGTTATTAGTAGGGTGCCCTGTTATAATAATTCCGATATGAATGTACAGAACAGCCGGACAGTCAGACAGACAGACGAACGGACAGACAGACAGACAGACGGACAGACGGACAGACAGACAGACGGATAGACAGACAGACAGACGTAAATTAGGCCAAACTACGTCTTTTTCTATCCCACAGAGATATTTACTCTGCTATACTAACGATACAAGGATTTATTAATTTCTGTACACATTCAATTATGCAATACATGTTTATCTTTTCAGGACTACAGCCCCACTAAGAATGCCACTCTCCGAGGAGAAAACGGATCAAAGATTGATACAAATTTCCGAACAATTTCGGTACCTCTTCAACTCCAACAAGCTCCTTGGCGCGGCCGCAATTTGTAGAGGGCTGGGACTAATCAGTGGCACGCTCAGGAAGGATTTAACGTTTGCCAACTATGGAACTCTGCTTCATTCTAACGTTCCGTCTTTTAGGGAAAATCGATATGAATTACTTGTAAATCCGGTGGAGCAATTTGTTCCAATCACTGCGCTGTGTCAGAAATCGTGCGCCATATCGATAATGAGTATTAGTTATAATGGCAAAATGGGGATTTCAATAACCGCGGATAAAGCACTATTTGGGAGAAAAGTTGACTTAGAAAGGTTTATTAATCAGATTATAAATGAGATTAGTGAAATTGGAGACATTAGTTGGGAGAGAGAAAAAGTGGAAATTAGAGGTTTGAAAAAAGACTGTTCTATCTTCCATATTTAGGTTTCGAATAGTCCGTTCCGTTAAAAATTTGCGTGACACTCCAGCATTCTTGTACGACTTTCTGGATGGATACGATTTTTTCATACGGTTATGATTATGGTTATGATTTAGGTTATGATTCCGGTTATGCTTCCGTTACAGTCAAGATTCCGGTTATGACTACGCGATAATTTAAGTTATGATTTGGTTATAATTTCCGTTATACTATCGGTTATGATTTCGGTTTTACTTTCGGTAACACTTACCTTCGTGTCAGTCATTATTTTCGTTATGATTTTAGGTATCATTTCTTTAATTATTTCTGTAATGATTCAGGTTACTATTTCGGTGATGATCTCGGTTATTATTTAGCTTATGATTTCGGTAATGACTTCATTCCGATTATAATTTCTGTTATGATTTCTGTTAAAATTTGGATTATAATTTTAGTCATATGAAATTTCGGTTATGAGTTCGTTCAAGTCTTGCTTTCGGTTATGATTTCTATTATAATTAATTTCGTCTATTATTTGGATTATGATTTCGGTTTTGACTTCGGTAAGAATTAAGGTTATAATTTCTGTTATGATTTTGGTTATGATTTCTGCTACGATTTCTGTTAAGATTTGGATTATGATTTTGATCATATGAAATTTCGATTATGAGTTTCTTCTAGTCATGGTTTCGATTACGACTTCAGTTATTATTTCAGTTATGATTGCTGTTATGATTTTGGTTCTGATTTGTTTTATAATTTGATCTCTTATTTATCCTATTATTTAGATTATGATTTCGTTTATGATTTAGGTTACGATTTCCGTCATTAGTTCGGTTATGAGTTACATTATCCGCTAAGAGTTATGATTTCTGCTAACAATTATTATTTCGGTTATGATTTCTGTTATAATTTAGCTTATACATAAGTTAGATCATGGGTTCGATTATGATTTCTGTTATAATTTTGGTTATGATTTCTGTTATCAGAAAAATAAAATTTTAAAAACAATTCAGCAACCTGAAAAAACCGATTTGCAACAGTAAACAAATTAACGTTTATGATTTCTGAAGTTTGAATACTTTGTGTACAATGACAATCCTTGGTACTGCTAAGAGTACCTCTGTTGTGCCGCGTCAACCGCCTTGGCTCATCTGTGAAAACGTCTACCACATAGCACGTCACAAAAAAATTCAAATCCAAATTCCAGACACAAAATTGTATAAGTTGTACATCGAAATAAAGTGGTGTTAAACAATATTTAGTGAAGCACTCCTCGATCCTAACCAACTCACCTTTTTTCCTCCACCAGCCCGAAATCTGGTTCCACCGAAATCCCTTGTTTTATGCATTGTTTATGGTGTTACAATTTTAAAAAAACTATCAGTACAGCTTAGGATTAGCTTAGCACGGAGCAGGATTAGTAAACCCATGTTTATCCTTAGTTTTCTATAAAATTACGTATTACTATTTTGCATTAATTCTTGCATTACGAATACGTAATGATGGAAATCATAACCTAACTCATAAACAAAATTATAGCCGAAATCATGATCTAACTTCCAAGATAAATAGTAGACAAAATTATAACAGAAGTCACAACCGAAACCATGACGAGAACGAACTCATAACCGAAATTTCATATGACCTAAATAATAATGCAAATCTTAACAGAAATCATAACTTAAATCATTACATAAATAATTAACGAAATGATAACCTAAATCATAACGAAAAAAATGATTGACACGAAAGTATGTACTTATTACCGAAATTATAACCAAATCATAACCTAAATCATCGCGGAGTCACAACCGGAATCATAACCGAAATCATAAGCTAAATCATCGCATAACCATAACCATATCAAAAAAACTTATCCTTGCAGAAGGTCGTACCAGAATGCTGGAGTGTCACGCAAAGTTGTAACGGGACCGACCATTGGAAACTAAAATATGGAAGAGTATAAGTCTTTTTTTAAACCAGACTCATTCCCACCTTTTCTCTCTTCCAACTAATGTCACCAACTTCACTAATCTCATTTATAATCTGATTAATAAACCTTTCCAAGTCAACTTTTCTCCCAAATAGTGCTTTATCCGCGGTTATTGAAATCCCCATTTTGCCATTATAACTAATACTCATTATCGATATGGCGCACGATCTCTGACACAGCGCAGTGATTGGAACAAATTGCTCCACCGGATTTCCAAATAATTCATATCGAGTTTCCTTAAAAGGGGCAACGTTAGAATTAAGCAGAGTTCCATAGTTCGCAAACATTAAATCCTTCCCTACCGTGCCACTGATTAGTCCCAGCCCTCTACAAATTGCGGCTGCGCCAAGAGCATGTTGGAGTTGGAGGGGTAACGAAATTGTTCAGAAATTTGTATCAATGTTTGATCCGTTTTCACTTCAGAGAGTGGCATTCGCAGTGGGGCTATAATCCTGAAAAGATAAACATGTATTGGATAATTGAAGGTGGAAGTTAAGAAATTCTTGTAACTTTAGTTTTGCAGAGTAAATATCTTTGTGGGACGGAAAAAGACGTAGTTTGGACTCATTTACGTCCGTCTGTCTGTCTGTCCGTCTGTCTATCTGTGCGTTTGTCTGTCCGGTCCGTCTGTCCGTCTGTCGGTCTGTCCACCTATTCTGTACGTTTGCGCAAAGTTATATCCGAATTACTATAAGATGGCCAGCCACTTGTATCGTTGCACTGGTTTATGTATTTCATACATACAGATTATTCGTCATAGTCCCAGGATGACTCGAAATGCTCGGCAGCGTATAAAGTGATGCGGCATCCCGGTTTAAATTTCCCCCTCTTTCCTTCACAATTCGCCTCACCGCCCCGGCCACTCCGGCGAACATAAGGGCTGTGATATTTGTCCGGGAAGCGTGTTAAATCCGCTTAAATTCGGCATCCCCATGGTGACGGGATTGTTACACCGGACCACGTCCCCACTTCGTCTGAATGCCTGTTCAATCAATTTGTTCATTCAAAATTCATTCAAGAATAAGTTACCACTTGAATAAGGGAATGTTGAGATATGCAAATTGAAATTTACATCTCGGTATTTTCATGAAGTTCGGTATTCAAATATCGAAATTAAAATTGAATTTTAGAAATTTCGAGGTAAACTTGGAGACACCCCCACAGTTACAAAATTGATTGCAACTTGATTACACCCTAACTCTGAATTCACGCACGCCCGAATGCGTTTCATTAATAACATAAATTTATAAATTACAAGCTACCAAGTTCGAGATTTCAACCTCCAAATATCGATTTTCGGTATTTAAATAATGATAATTTCTGTATTGTAATATCGAAATTTCGGAATCTCGAAATATTGAGAATATGTACATGCCCAACATACAATACAGCCTTAAACTAGATTTCAAGAAAATACTTACAATTTTCACGACATTTTCCACTCTCTGCATCACCTGGCCCATGTCATACCCACCCTTCGGATAAATTGCCACCCAAATGGAACAATCCGGTTTTCCGTAAATGTCATCCCTAGCAAACGAAATACTGCTGATGTTGAGGGGAACATAAATCCTGGTTTTCCACGAGGCCAGAAATATGATAAGTTTCGGTATATAATCAACTGAACTATTACAAAGAGCAAAATCAGGGTTAAGATAGAAGTCAGAAATGGAAGTAAATTTCTGAACTTTTTCCTCATTTCGAATTCATTAATTAAATATTTACTGGAATTTAGACCAGGTGTGGGAACGGGAACGAATAAGGGTAAACTAATATCATGTGAGATCATTTTTTGAAGGTGAGGAAGTCCATTCCTACTCAAATTCACACATCGATGAAAGTTTGATAAGATTATTTTCAAAGATGATAAGGAATAAAGCCCTATTTTGAAGTACATTACGACTAATTATAAGTGGTAAATCTTGGCAGTATTATTAAGTAGCTTCAGCTACTTTATGTGAAGACTTTGTCTGTCTGTCTGTCTGTCTGTCTGTCTGTCTGTCTGTCTGTCTGTCTGTCTGTCTGTCCGTCTGTCTGTCAGCAGGATAACGGGAGAACGGATAAAGATAATCGAAATCGGTTTTCGCCATCATACATAATACCCCAGGGGGAGGATCCTATCAACTTTTGGGTGCAACCGGACCACACCCCCGGTCGCCAGGGGGTGTGGTCGGGGCAAAATGAGATTTTTAGTGCAATTGAATCTATGGATGAAATGGAGTGAAATTTTGAGTTCCCCCGTTGTGCCACACCCCCCGGGCGCCAGGGGGTGTGGTCGGGGCAAAATGAGATTTTTGAAAAAATTGAATGCATAGATGTAGCATTAATTATGTAACGTGCAATTTGCAATATTTTGACATTAAAATATTTGTGGATTCAGCAGTTTTATCTCCATTCCTCTGAAAATTTGCCTCAATGTATTCCAATATATGGTGAATAATTGGTATGAAAACAGTTTTGAAATATCTACCTGTTCTTGGGAAAATTGAAGTTGAATTTGAAATTAAAAATCGTAGCATTAAATAAGTTACATACTGTATATACATAAGCACATACATATGTACATATATACATACATAAATATGTGACTTTACCGACAAACTAATACATTTATTACTGGCTGGTAGAAATGTGTTTTAAACAAACTGATAATATTTTTGAGTTCTGTAGTTGGATTTATTATTATCGCGGCAGTAAATTTACTGCCAGTCGATTATTTACAAATTTATTACTATATCGGTTAATTGTATACTCCGGCTGGTAATACCTTGTTAACGAATTATTTAGAGCTTGTGCGAGACGTAAGGCTGTTCTCGTACTTCATTTATTTCGAATTTCTAGATATTAATTAGAAAATTTCTAATAGAAATTATTTATTAAATTTCTATGTTTAAATTTCTAACTAAATTTCTATATATTAATTTCGATTAAACTTGACACTTTCAGAAACCTCTAGATAAATGTCGTCTCCTAAATTCAAATCAGGGTCTTTTCCCGCCCCTTGCTTAATCTTCCGCACAAATCCTAGCTTCTCCCCTAATACGACCCACGCGTTCACCTCGGCCGGCCTTGCCTTTTTCCAGCTTCCCCCAATGGCCGCGTATTTCACCAAATTGGGAAACATTTCCACCGCCCTGTCCCAAAATTCGGAGGAATCCCGCCACTCGCAAGACTCACCCGTTACCTGCCTAAACTTCTCCTCGGGCGGGAACGGGACATCTAATCGTTTCACACTCTCACCCCGCGAATTACCTTTGCGGAGGAAAGATTTGTACAAAAATGACACACTTGTCTCGAAATATTCCCCCACCGACAATTTGTCCATGGCCTCTGTGGAAATATCTTGAACAAGGTGGGACTTTGAAATCCTGATAGTTTCCAGAACGGGGAATTGATCTTCGTATACCAACCTGTTAAAAAAATATTTCTTCATTTAATTTAAAAATTGGGGAACATTATTCATTAAATATTCATTTATTCAAGACTTGACAGTAAATATGTACTTTTTTATTATTCATTTGATCTAAAACTGGTTTAAGGATTACTTGAATTTCTCAATATAACGCATATTTATATTAGTCATAGCGTGAAAAATGAATAAAAGTGGTAATTTACTCTTCATGAATATGAAATGAATAAATATTTTTTGAAATGATATTCATTCAATTTAAAAATTGGAAAAAATTATTCATTCATTATTAATCATTTTATCTAAAACCCGCCTTATTAGATAGATTTCTCAATATACCCCATATATGTATGAATGTATTAAGCATACCGTGAAAAAATAATGAATAAAATTATTCATTCATTCCTTACGAATAAATATGGAATGAACAAATATTTGTTCAATATTCATTAATTCATTCAAAAATTGTGAAAAAACAATATTTCCTAAATCTTCATGAATTAATCAATGAATAAATAAATTACTCATTCTTTATCTCATAAATGAATGTGACCAGGTACACCAACCTTCCCGCGGGATTGTCCTCTCCTCCATTAAACTTCAATACCAGCCTTGGCGTCACGACCGAATTTCCGTACTTTCTACGATCCGTCCACTGACTTTGAACTAGTTCAAACCCCCTTAATTTCCTCATGGCGGGAAGAACTATGCTATAATCGGCTAATTTAGCATAATCCACATCAACGTTTTTAACCTCGGAAAATTTAACGTGTTGCAACGTTCCCGCGACAAACTTGAGCACATTCGACGTATCCAGAGGACGCCGAATTCCTAACTCGAGCCGGGTAATATTTTATGCTACCATCGGTCGCAGTATCTTGACACCCGCCAACTTCAAAAATGTCACCGTCCTGGGGGGAACGAAATTGAGGGGGTTTTCCAGCACTGACCAACCCACGTTGGAAAACGCGAGCCCGATCAGATTCGGAAAAAGGGGGATTATTGCCGCGAAGATGGAGGAAAGTTCGGCCCCGCTGGTCACATCACTCGTCGCGAGTTCTAGTCTCTTTACCTTCGAGAAGGAAACCGTTTCTGGCGCGAAGATCGTCTCATATGTGGAAAGGGACAATAGAGTTACATGTAATTTAAGCGAGGTCACGTGCGGGAAGGAATTTGCGATGAAGTGCAAAGATTCTAGACACGTGGGACGGCTTGGTGGGAATAAATTTGTCGTTAAGGTTCTCACTTTGTGGGCGTGGTTGGTAAGGAAATTTTTGTAGAGGGGGTGATCTGAGAAGAAATAGAGGCACACGTTTCGCGGGCAGTTTCCTCGGGCGGTGACAACTGCGTCGTCCCGGGTGATATTTTGGGGGATTAGGATAAGTCGGTCGAAACCGAGGAGAATTTTGCGGACTTCGGTTTCCCACGTGGAGTTGATTAAGGTGCACGTGAGGAGGGAAGATTTGAGAGAAAAGTGGCAATCTTTGCTAATATCTGGAAGTATGTAGGTAAGGACGGATTAGGTATTCAAATTTTCGATTATTATGTAAATATGTATTCAAACGTGGTTTCGCTCACTCACTCATAACTTAGGTAACTAAATACGTATATACATAGGTTATACAATTAATACGGTAAAATAATAGTTTTTTAATTGGATTATGAATTTATGGAAAAACTAAAGTTTTTGCTCTTGAGTTTGGAGGTAGTTCCTGCGAGGACTCTAACTGATACACAGTTAGAGTTCCTAGAAAGTGTATTTGAAAAACAGCCAACGCAAAACAGATGAAAAAGTGAGATTTTGGGAGCACACACGATTTCGTGCATTTTCTGCCAAACGTGGTGGCTGCAACTCTCGCCGTCACCACCGCTTATATCCAGATATCCTGGCATCAAAAAATTACGTTCGCAGCACATAGGTGGCGTCCGCACCCCTATTTGAACATATTCTCGCCAATTTCAGAGTCGCGTCTCCCGAAATTTGATGCTCTACGATGGTGTGCGTTGTGCCAAATAGGGGTGCCGACGCCACCTAGGTGCTTCCAACGTAATTTTTTCATGCGAAGATATGTGGATATGAGCGGTGGTGCACCACCATCGTGGGGCGAAGCACACACTGCTCGGGCGTGCAGCAGCTACCACGCGCTGCGTTAATGCTACCAATAGGGGGTCAGAAATCGTACCTCTATCGTGGCGTTTTTCCTTATGCACTTTCCACGAACCCTTCCTGGCTCACTCCAAATAAAAAAGCCAGGTGGGTTCGTCGCGGGAACTAGTTTAGAGGGGCGTTGTTTTGCAGATTAATTCGATCCTACTACAACTTGTGTCAGTTTGTTCGATTTAAACAAAACTTTAAAAATCCAGACTTGAAGAATTTTAAAAATTTACGCCCTATTTTTAATTTGTAACTCTTCTCAACGTAAAAAAAATTGAGCTCAAGTTTTACGAATTTTGCAGGTCCGGATTTTTTATACAAAAAATCTGTTTTATCATGTAATTAATCTCTAAAGCAAACTCCCCATCCCCCCAAGTGCCAAAACCTTGTACGCATGGGAACGTCCATAAAGTATGTCACGCAAAAACGTGGATTTTTATATACATATCCTGCCTCCTCCTGGTCACAATTTACGCCTCATTTTAACAAAGGGCGCAAATGGGCTTTTATACTCCCTTGGCTGTGTTATAATTTGTGGACATCACTTAATTGCATATTTATACCAATAATTATAACAATTAATGTACATAACTAGGCAGATATGTGGAACTGTGAGTAAATTTACATATGTACCTATGTATGTATTTACATATATGTAAACATTCAATTATTTACCTCGGGAAGTACCACGGTGAGATGAGGGTTGTCTTTGTGTTCGCCATAATCCATTTCTGTGTTGCATGATACAACTTGTATGTATACGAAACCAGCTAAATAAGTAAATGTGTATGTACATATGTATCCTCACAAACATGCCGAAATTTTGCAACATGTAAATATTTAGCAATCTTTGTCTCAAACTAAAGTAACCACAAACCTTATGTGCATACGTTTGTATCTCTTTACGTAATCAGGGTATGGAAATTCACAATTTCACAATTACACAAATTACACTCAAATCAAAACGAAAAACCAAATTATATTCACAGAGAAAAATCGGCTGGCTTGAAATGTCAAAAGATTGGACGGTGGAGGTGATGGAATGCTGACCAGCGTGGAAAATGTGACCCTTTGTACATTCATGAAACCTTTTTTGACAAAAATAGATTTATGGCCAGAGGACAGATATGTGTATATGCTGTTATTTTTAATTTTTTCGGTTCCTTAATTCCACATTAGACAGGTTGAGCAAGAGTACAATATTGTAAAAAAATGATTGTATGTTCTTGAGGTTGAGCAAGAATATTTTATGGGAGGATTGTAATTCTCATTAATTTCCGGCGGCAGATTTGAAATTCCTGCAAGTTGGGTATATGAGTACAATACAATGCTGCCTGGAGACGGAGATTTGTAATCCTGAGTTTGACTAAAAGTTTGACTAATGTTTTGACTAATTTTCTCGCTGTGTTTACAATCGCAAAATACAATCATGTACTCTTGCTCAACCTGTCTATTATTTAAGAGGTTTATCAAATCTTTACTGGAATTGAGGCGAGGTGTGGAGATTGTATGAATGAGGCTCACCTTATGTGCATATATCGTGTTGGACGTACATATGTATAGTGTGGTCTGAAAGGTGGGAAAGTCCAGACAATTATTTTATTTTATCCTACTCAAATTCATGCATTCATGCAAATTTGATTAGATTATTTTCAAACATGATTTCCGACTTGGCTACGCTCATTATGAACTGACAAGTAATTATAAATGGGAGATTTGGGCAGCATTATTTATCAGGTACAAACCATCCTTCAAATAGTCGGACTTGAGGACCGTTCATAAATTATGCCGTGCAAAAATCGCGATCTTTTCCCCCTTTTAGCATATGCACGATCTCATTGCATCCTTGCACTCTTACTTCCCCTTTCATGTTACATAATTTATGAACGCGGGAATAAAGCCCTATTTTGAAGTACATTACGACTAATTATAAGTGGTAAATCTTGGCAGTATTATTAAGTAGCTTCAGCTACTTTATGTGAAGACTTTGTCTGTCTGTCTGTCTGTCTGTCTGTCCGTCTGTCTGTCAGCAGGATAACGGGAGAACGGATAAAGATAATCGAAATCGGTTTTCGCCATCATACATAATACCCCAGGGGGAGGATCCTATCAACTTTTGGGTGCAACCGGACCACACCCCCGGTCGCCAGGGGGTGTGGTCGGGGCAAAATGAGATTTTTAGTGCAATTGAATCTATGGATGAAATGGAGTGAAATTTTGAGTTCCCCCGTTGTGCCACACCCCCCGGGCGCCAGGGGGTGTGGTCGGGGCAAAATGAGATTTTTGAAAAAATTGAATGCATAGATGAAATACAGTAGAATAAAGTGCTCCCGAGTTGTGCCACACCCCCTCGTCACTAGGGGGTGTGGTCGGGGCAAAATGAGATTTTTGAAAAAATTGAATGTATAGATGAAATACAGTAAAATCAAGTGTTCCCGCGATGTCGTGGGAGTGCTTGGAGTGAAGTAGTCTGAAGCTACTTCCGTATGCGCGTTTGCGACGGTTTATTTATCAAGTACATATGTACGTACATATGTACAACCATTGCTTGGGGGCTGTTCATAAATTATGTCGTAAAAATCGCGAATTTCTAGACCCTCCCCCATTTAAGATGAATCACACATGCACGACATCATTCGAGACGTGCATATGTATAAACCTCGCTTTGCCACTCTCGCGTTACATAATTTATGAATGGCCCCTTGGGGTAAATAATGCATTAATTAATTTTGGCGTGTGGAGTCCAAGTTCCATGATTTAATAAAGAGTGTTCACAATTTAAGGTCGATTGTGCAAAAACGCAGAATATTGAGAAGATGTTATTTAGTTATGAATCAGGCTTAACTCTACGTACATAAGTCATCATAAGACTCATTAAGTAATGAGTTAAGCGTTGGGTCAGGAAGGTGAGTCATTGGTACCACAGCGCGTGTTATTTCTTGACTCGTCAGGCTTGGTAATGCTTGGGTTATTAACACATAACTTCAAGGTTCTCTCGCATGCATGTCTTACAATATTGTAAGACACTTCTGATTTAAGAAGTGCAATATCAGCTATTATGTATTTGTTAAAGATACATACATGCCGTTTTCGGGGTCTTAACAATCTTAGTGAAAATTTAAGTCCAATTAATTCATGTAATTATTTATCCAGAATATGTATCGTACTCGTGACATTAAAATAAGGTTGCTTAATTAGTTAAGTATGTCATTAATTCCTAATTACTTTTCTTGACTCTACTGTAGAGGAAGTAATTAATCACAAATGTATTACAGTTTTTTATAAAGTCATGCAGTTAGGGGTATTAAAGAACTTACTTTAGACTAGGACGTGGACCACGCAATTTCAAAATTTGAATCGAATCGGGGAAATACACTTCACACCATCGCATTGTAAGTAAAATATTTTAGATTGCTAGATTATTAGATTTCGTTATCACATTTAGGCGGTTATGATTTTTTTGTAAAATCTAACACCGCTTTACTCAAGAGTGTATGTCGACTCTACCTCCACCAGTGACACCATTTAGGTCAGACTCGAAAGACAGTTTCCTTGAGGCGAAGACGTGTTTTATTCCTTAACAGTTTGTATTTTATAATAAGACCCTTTTCCTCATTAGAAATGCAAACAAAAAAGGGACTAATTATAAAATAAAACGTTAGGTAAACCAGCTTTCTAGAATTCCCCGCCGTGACT